CCCTGCCCTCCTCCCGGGAAACCGTCCTGGATCCCTATAGGTGCCGGTTGGCAACTGGATGTATCCTTCAAACAAATTCAGCAGTTTAATAAACCCGTATGTTTTTCCCAGCGACTACTCTAAAGCTCAGGATAATGTGGTTCACCTAAACTGATGCGAGAGTACGCGGATTCACTAATTCTGCCTTTCAGAAAGCTGCAAGTAGGAAAAAAATATAAAAATTTTACTAACCAGAATTGTAACAAGATGTGAAATCACTTCCAGTGAAGTTTGTAACTGCGACAATTGATGTGAAATTGATGACTGTTCACGGAATTGCTGAGTTAATACTTCTGATGCTGTCATTAGCTGTTTCTCCAACCTGAAACAAGTCTTTATGCCACACTGCTTTGATTTGTTGTTTTTTTCAGTCAAAATTTGCTCGTAGAAGCTAGGGTACGATATTTTTGGAGAATTTTTGTGAAAAAAAAGCAACTGTGGCATTTTTCGAAAAAAAAAAAAGAAACGAAATCGAATTTTTTTCTAACTCACTAAACAATCAATCAATAACAGGGAGAATTATTAATAACAGAACAAGGAGAATTATTAATAACAGAACAAACGAAAGTCAAAATTATCGTTTTTTTCACTTTCTACGAAAGACGGGTTACTCGAAACTAGCACCAAACCATAACATGCGCCAAATGCAATCATACACTTCCAACAATGTCGATGGCTCTCTCTTTCGAGGGTTTTTAAGACGTAGGTAATGGTAGTTTCGTATCCCTAGCATGAGCCAGTACCACTTTATCATTGGTACGAGTGAATGAATCGTAGAGGGATTGGTTGCTCATCGGAACGGAGTAAAATTCCGATCTTCTGTACGACAGCAGTGCTACTTGCTTCTGCGTCATGCTAGCGAGCTACAGAAAAAGTCAGAATTCAAAACCTCTCACATGTTCGTTTTCTATGAAATGCTGGGGCACTCGGAGTGATCACATGTATGCAAGACTATCTATGTAATAAATATAAAACTTACAAAATTTGAAACCCAAAATTTTTGAAAAATTTAATAACTTGCTCGAAAAGGAGCGAGATTTATACAACCCATCTTTATTTTCCCTCTTTTTTCATTCATCTTATATATTTTGGAATGTTAATTACGGGGATGGCTGTTAGAAATATAAGGATGCTGCTAGTGGCCTTCTTTCCAGGACAGATCAGCGATTACATATGTATACGAGAAATTCTAGTTTTCGGGAAAATCTCTTCCAAGAAATTCTCGTTTTTGAGAAAATTTTTTCCAAAAATACAAATTTGGCTTACCAAGTAAGTTTGAATGAGGCAGTAAGTCCCCAGACATTACTCTTCAGAGCTGCGCGTAGAAGACCCAAACATCGTTTGCTGTATTGCTCCAACAGAATCGAGTGCTGACTTCCAGACTGACTCTGTAATTACTATTCAAAACTATGCGCAAATTTCGAACTCGAGTAATTTTCTTCACATTCCCATCATACCTCCTTCCCTCTCCCCTCCCCCTCTCCCCTTTCTCTCCTCGCTCCCTTAGCAAAGCTACGATTCGTTCAAACATTTGTTTTATCAGGCTTTTGCTTATTATTAAAATTTTTATTAATAAAAACCACGGTGGCCTTCCCCCTCTCCTTGTGTCGTTCTTCGTTTTTCCCATAAAACTTTCACTAAAAAAACATGATTGTTTTCCCCTCTCCTTATGCGCTTTTACCTTCCTCCACTCATAAATTGGCATTGCATCTACTGTGTTAATGAATTCCAACTACGATGTTTAGCTAAAGTCTACAAATTTATGAACCGAAACTTCTTAGCTGTACTCAAGCCCGTCTCTTTTTTCACCTTCCCCTCCTCCCCTCCCCCC